AAGAAAGCCCAAGTAAATGTTATTCGTAGTAATCTCCTTTCTCAAGTGTGCAAGTGATTTCATTTTTTTTTATTTTTCACCCGGTTTTCGATATCCGTATTGGAGCCCGACTATTCCGAATTTGCGCCGGATAAGCCCCATTCGGGGGGTAACGCTCCCTACCAGGAATATTCCCTCGGTTCTCATTTAGTTATTAGGATAATATTTTACACGCCTATTAAGAAAGCATTAATAAAAAAGGTAAATTAACAAATTTACCCCTTATTAATTCTTTAATCTTTGTTTATTTATGTGCCTCTTAATTTTAGAACAATTATTGTTAAGGGCGTTGAAAAAGAAATAATTGATTCTCTAATGATTGTTTAAATTGACAAGTATTTGAGATTACTCTGTTTTAAAAGGCAGAATTGGGACTCCCCTGGGGCTCACTCCGGAATGGAGCACTCGTAAAACGCCTTGGGCTTATGTGTGGGGCTTAGTTCCGTGAGACTTATGCCTCATCCATCGGGGCTTATGCCCCAGATACGCCCAACGCCCAACGTACTAGGCTCGCCTAATAGAACTTTATATAATTGTATGTAACTAACCTTGTAAACCTCAAATTTTCTTAATAAATTGATCATCGACTGTTCAAAATTATTTTTTTTATTCATATATCATTAAGTTGAGAGTATTTTATGTCATAATTGAAATAAAAATTATTGCACGTTATCCACTAAGATTACTATGGTAGATAATTTTATATAAATCTTTCATTTAAAAAATATTTATTTATTAACTTTTGTTATGTCTTTACTATATAATAATCCATAATTTTCTTTATAATTATTTTTTAAAATATTATTTTTTCACGTTTAGGAGATACAATAGTAATTAATTTACTAGCTCAGTATTAGCTAGTAACTATTTACAAATAATTAGTTATCATGATATTGTATGGTGAATTATATTCACTTTATTAACTTATTAAAACTTAAAAATAAATGAAGCTAGAGAATCATATTTAAATTGTGAATTATATTTTTATATAAATTCTTTTTCAAATAGAAAGCATATTAAATAAAAGGAGTATTTTAAGAAAAATATCAAATTATAATATCAAAATTCTTTCAACATTCATTACTCCTTAAGAGATACATATAAGATTTCGTATCGAATACATTACTTTTGATGTTTGAGTTGTAACGACGCTGCAACTAATTTACATATTATGATATATGTCATACTTTTCGTATTATTCATAGTTGAATTATAATTTATAAATAATGAATTATAATTTATAAATATTTTAAATATATTATCTTTTATAATTTTGTGATTTTAATGTAATTTTTATAATTATTTTTATTTTATACTATCTTAAAATTCTTGAAATTAGTAAAATTTAAAGATCCTTGGGACTTACGCCCTATGTGTCAGGGCTTACGCCTCGCATCGTCAGAGGTAAAACGCCTCGCCTCGCCTCACGCCCTCGCCTTTTAAAACATTATTTGAGAATTACTATTTTTTAGTATACATGACAACTAAATAAGAAGGGAAGCAGTAAACGATTTACCTTCTCTAAGCTCTCGTTTGACCATAGATTTTTGGTTTTATTTTTTCAAAAAAATTGAAAACATTGTTTGTTTATGAAATATGATCATGTTTTGCTAAAAAAAAAATTCAAAATTTTCAAATTCCTAAAAACTGGTTTAGGGCAGTTTTTGTGTGAATTTTTTTTCCACTCACAAAACTTCAACTTTTTTCAAGTAAAATGCATGTCCAAATACAACTTTAACTTTCAAAAATTATTTTTCAACGCAAATTCAAAAATTATTTTTTCAAGTTTCAATTAAATCTATAACCGCGAGCTAAAACAATGGAGTACTACAAAAGAACAAGCAAGAGCGGAAAATATAGCTCAAAATTGTTGAAATTAGTAAGCTGCCTTTTGTTTTAGACGACAATTTTAAAAATATTTTAAGTCTTTCTTAAACTTTGTTTCCAAATAGTGTTTCGTAGTTCGGAAAAGGGCCATATATACCCATGTATTATCAGAAAATGTTCAAATATATCATTCGTTATGCTTTGAGTTCAAATATACCTCTGCCGTAATACTATTGGTTCAATTATACTCCTTTTCCGTTAAGTTTGTCTAATGTGAACATCCAATCCTATGTGGCACTGACATTTGATGGGGTGGGTGCCACATGGCTTACCACCTTAGCGCCCCTAACCCATTTTATCCCCCCTTTCTATTTTTTTTCCATCACTAAAATTTTCTTCTCTCCACCACTATTACCACCATTACCGCTACCATGAAAATATTGTATTTCAAAATTTAGTCTTTATATATGGATTAGGGGCGTTGAGGTGGCATGTTATGTGACATTCACTTCCTCAAATATTAGTGTCACGTAGGATTGAATATCCACATTGGACAAACTTAACATAAAAGTGGTATATTTGAACCAATAGTATTACGATAGGATATATCTGAAACTAAAGTATAACGAATGATATATTTAAATATTTTCTCATGGTACAAAAGTATATTTGGCCTTTTCCATTCATAGTCTCCAAAAAACGAGTCTCTTCCTTAAAAGAAGGATTTTGCAATATACTTAATTAATTAGAGCAATTCACATGCTGCAAATATAAAGTGATTTAACATGTCTGTTAGTCTGTACAGTGGAAAGGTCAAATCTGAACAAACAACATCACAATCTTGATTCTGCAGCATCAAATATTGGACCCACCTTGGGTTGCTAATTAAGGACTAATTATTCCCAAGCTACAAAGAATTTCGGAAAACAAATTGAAGAAAACTTATTCACATTTATTATCTACGTCAAACTAATAAATACATGGTGTGCCTTAGCTCATTAATTTTTACTTAGTTAAATATTATGGATTCCCGCTTCATTTAATTATTATATCGAGTTTAAATAATATAAACTGTCAGTTTAAATTTTATTTACACTATTAAATCATCCAAAAAATATTTACAAATAAGTCATCTTAAAATATTAAATTTATAATCTTAAAAATAAGACAGGTTACCTCCTACAACATATATAAAAAAAGTTACACTAACAGTGTTAATAAATTAAACTCAACCATGATAAGTTGTATTTTTTAATGCAAATATTGAGTATGCGTAGGTATTTTTTGGAGTAAATCTGAGAATTTATCACGTCAAAAGGATAATTAACTTAAAGAACCATCCAATCAACTTCTTAAACTAAAAATAGCCGGTGAATATATAAGATATACATAATTCATATGTAATATGTGTATAACCGTATACAATCAACGTATAATTTATATATACCGGCTAGAAAAAGTAACATGTAAATCCAGTCGACTATTTGTTAAGAACTTTAGAAGGTCAGAGCAACTAGGCTGTTCCATCGTGCTATGGTTGTTATGTCCAGAATCCAGATCATCAGGGTTGGTTCAAATGAATAATCGCAGGAAGAGGCTTTGATTAGAATGGCTATTGAAAAAAAGTCAAAATGAATTGAGAATGATAGGACTGATTTTCAGATTAGAAAATAGTGCTAGCTTTAATCTGTTAAATATCCGTCTTTAACAAATGACTAGCTAATTACTCATAATTAACACTACAGAAAAATCAGCATAATTTGCCAGTCAGAAGATGCTTCTCTGATTAAGCTTATCAAAACTTAAGTGGACACAACTTGATTGATAATTAGCTCTTTACATAATTGACATCTGCATCTCACTTCTTTCTTTATTGAGTGACCTTCAATCTTTAGGTCCAATTGCAATCATAATCCACCTAATACTCCTTGTATTCTAATTTATATGATGAACTTCCTTTTTTAGTATATCTCAAAAGAAATACTAACACTTTTCTATATTTACAAGCAATTTAACTGTAACTCTCATTATATCCTTAATGAAATGTGTTATAACAATTTTACTATAAAATTCTTATTCTATCCTTGATGAGATAATTTATAACCATATTATTTACGTGCTCAGTTGAACAAGGCCACATAAAATGGGACAAAGGGAAAAATATATGGAATGTAACATGGGGTTTCAAAATGCCTGCATAAGCATGTCATGTTGAGTCGCACCGCTTTTTAGTGAACGTAGAACTTTTTGTCTAAATTTTGGTGCGCGAAGTTATTTGGTATGAAATGTAGAACTTTTTGTCTAAACTTTAATGCACAAAGTTATCTGGTACTTGTGTTGGAGAGAGATAACAGATATAGAGTAGAATAATCGAGGTGTAGATATCCGATGAAATAATTGAGGTGCACGGAAGCTGGCTAACGTTTCCAAAAAAAATGAATATTGGTTGATATATATATATGACTAGCATATTGGCAGAAATACCTTAAAAGTACCTCTGCGAATGTCATTCTCCATGAATATTCTCTAGCAGCATGTACAAAAATACATGTATAGCAGATCCCAAATGAGGTAACCGTTTGATAAATAAGAAAGATCTAATAATGCACCATCAAAGGATGTGGTGTAGTGAGGCTGTTTTTCTCTTAATCAGAGGTCTTGAGTTCGAGCCCTGGATATGAAAAAATCATTGGTAGGGAGCGCTATCCCCTAAATGGGGTCCTACTCAATACGAATCCGGATATAATTGGGCACCGGACACAAAATAAGAAACCAAAAAAAAAAAAGATCTACTAATGCGCTAGTGACTGTAAATGCAAGTCATGAGACAGGAAGATAGAAACTTAGACATCTAAAAATTGACATTACTACAACAAAACCTTTCCCCACCTACTGATCACTCAAAGTTGGTTCTGTCTGAAAGTTACACAGCAGTGGGTGTACTTTTATTATAATAGTTTTTTCATTACTAGAATTATTTTAACACACACATGACTCGTAATAAAGCACAAAATATTGGGTCTTTTGCCAACTTACTATTAAAAATATAATGTCCAACCATACATGACTTAAACTTCACTCTTACTCAAAACCTATTAAAACAGAAGTCTACCAAAAAGTTATTTCATGTCTCATCATTCTGTGCACTTTATTACATTAAGCCTTGTTAAAGTAAATAGCTTTTGCTTTATTTTCTCAATTAAGTTTTTTCCTTCTACTTTCCATTGTCAGCCCATATCCACACACTTTTCAATATGGGATGGCCAAAATATGCTAGAGGAAAGCTATCTTTGCCTGTAATTACAGGAATTTTCTGTACATTAGCATTTATTGCTTTATTGTACACTGAAAGGATTAGCACTTTCTCTTCTGGCTCTCTTTTTGGGGTTAAATCTTGTCCTAGACGAAATGTTGCAAAGTTTAAAAAACATCATACAGGTGCACCTGCAGCTTCTTTATTTTTTTCGATCTAAAATGCACTATCTTGATCTTATTTTTCTCTTGTCATGTTAAAATTTCATTTTCCTTGGCTTAATAGGTGATCGAGAATTGAAGAGCAGTCCACTAGATAATCCAACGGACGATAGGTTCGAGTTTGATCCCGAGGAATGCAGCCTGAATAATGGAAAATGGGTGTTTAACACTTCGATTAAGCCATTGTACACAGATAGAACATGTCCATATGTTGACAGACAATATTCTTGTACTAAGAATGGTCGAAACGATTCGGATTATCTTCACTGGGAATGGCAGCCTGATGACTGCATCTTGCCAAGGTTAGCAAGTTTTCTTGAAAATGTCATTCTCAATCCTCTGTTTGTACATGGAAGTTTCCATGCAAATGAAACAAATACTATATAGTACTGTCAATGTCATTACTTGCTATCTCAACTTTTGATACAGAACATGTTACACTAAGTGCAATAGACATTCTGAGTGTAAAATAAGTATTTGGCAGTCCGAAATTTGGAAAATTTAGTTGAGTGACATTCTGAGTGCAATAGTCATAGTTTAGTGACTTTGTTGTTACAAACCAAAGAAAAGTAACTTTAGAAGATAATTTGGGATAGTTGAGTGACCATTTGAGTTATGAACTCGTCATTACTTGCTATCTCAATTTTTGATATAGAACATGTTAAACTAAATTCTTGACAATATATTCAGGTTTGATCCTAAGATTGCCCTGAGAAAAATTCAAGGAAAGAGGATAATGTTTGTAGGAGACTCAATACAAAGAAATATGTGGGAATCTTTTGTGTGTTTGGTTCAATCTGTGATCCCAGAAGGACAGAAGTCTATGAAACAAGGTCGTGTTCACTCTGCCTTCACAGCTAAGGTAATCAATCTTCAAGTCAAGAAAAATCTATGCTTTTTCGAGATTAACGAGTCGTATACACTAATAATGTGAAGAATTGTAATTTAACCAGCTATAACATGTTATTACTCTATTTTCCATATACTATGACTAGTTATAAAAATCTATACATTCTCAGTATAAAAAACAACAACAATAAACTCAGTGAATTCCTACGAGTGGGGGTATGGGGAGGGTTCCGTATACATTCTCAATATGTAGAACTTAAATTACTTCAAGAATTTGCTCAAAATTAGGTTTTTGTTAATTTTCGAAATTTTGCAGCTTTTCCAAGAATTATATACACTAACTTTTACACATCAATGAACTTTAACAAGTTGTAACATGTCATTACAATATTTTTGATGTTACCATATTAGAATTGCTAGAAAAGTTATCTACTATAGCAGGTCAGCTTAACCTTATAGAGTAAAAGAAAAATCTAAAATGTTACGTGCAGAGAATTAAAATTACTTCAAAAATATGCTCAAATTTTTAGATTTTATTTAAATTTCATAATCTGCAGCTAAACTTGTCCTCACATTCTTCAGGAATATAATGCCACAATTGAGTTCTACTGGGCACCATTCTTGGTGGAGTCTAATACAGATATTCACATAAAAGTCGATCCAAAGCAGAGAATAATCAAAGTGGATTCAATCAGTGAACGCGCCAAACAGTGGTTAGGAGTAGATATCCTTGTTTTCAACACTTATGTTTGGTGGATGAGTGGCCTTAAGGCCAAGGCACTGTAAGTATATACTATTCAAAAGTTCAAAACAAAAGAATTTTTTCTAGTTGATGTTGTTTAGAAATGTTTGAATAAATGCAGATGGGGAGAATTTGCAAATGGAGAAGAAGGATATGAAGAATTTGATACAGCAATATCTTACAAGCTGGCATTGAGAACATGGGCAAATTGGATTGATTCAACCATTGATACTAACAAAACAAGGGTGTTCTTTACTGCCATGTCCCCTACGCACCAAAGGTACGTTGCTCAAGTATTTATTGAAAGAGTTTAACTTCTATATACTGATAGTACGATAAAGATAAGAAAATGTAACTATCCCTGATAAGTGGAAGTCGTTACCTTAAAAAATAAAGCAGACAAGCAACTATAACGTGTTAAATTACAACTTGTTTGACCTCAAAACTCACAGTAGCATTATTCTAAAACATGTGTAAATTTTGCAGAAATGAAGATTGGGGTAACATGAAAGGTATAAAGTGTTTCAACGAGACAAGACCGGTGATGAAGAAGGGGCATTGGGGAGTCGGTTCGAACATCGAGATGATGAAGGCAGTGGCTGGTGTAATAGGGAGAATGAAAGTTCATGTTACTGTTCTTAACATAACACAATTATCCGAGCACAGAATTGATGGACATGCATCAGTTTATGGTGAATTAGGAGGCAAATTGTTAACTGATAAACAGAAAGCAGATCCATTGAATTTTGCAGATTGTATACATTGGTGTTTGCCTGGAGTTCCTGACACTTGGAATAGAATGCTTTTTGCATATTTGTAGCCCACTAATATCAGGAGACAAAAGAAAAAATGTAAAAAAATTAAAGCATAATTTGTTTTCTCCTTTCAGTTGCAAAATTGTTTGAATATTCTTGTAAGTACATTGAATCAATATGGTAAAGTAAATGAAATTTACACCATGTGTGAAATTGTAATTTCTGAGTTTCCACGACTACCTTTATTGAAACTATAGCCATCAAACTCAACTTTTAAGTTTCTTTCTTCCATTTTTTCTTTTTAATTTTCAACTTCCTGGGAGTGATACAACCTGTCCCCGGATCCTGCGTGAACGTAGGATACTTTGTGCACCGAGCCGCCCTTTAAGGTGAATCTGTATATAAGGAAAAAGATGTCTTCAAGGGACGCAAGGTGAATACCACTACTACGACACTGCAACTTCAATCTCTTATACATCTGATCTGATTAATCCTAAGTCTAATGGATCGAAAACTCAATGTCACTATTCTCGAACAACTTGGAGCTGAGCTTTCTTTTTGCACTATTGCGAATACAAAGGTGATGGTCAAACTCGAATTCAATTGTCAACTGCTCCTATAGGAAATAGGATTCACTAACAATTCCAAAGGAAATTTTCGCAATAGAGAAAGAGAGTGTGTGAGACGGGAGACTATAGAGATATATTAGACAGTTCTGTATAGGTAGACAAATGAAACCGTTGAATCAAAAATTACCTGCTCTATATACTCTTATCTAACCCATAGCATCATTTAATGTTGCAAAACAACTAAAAAAAACTCTTAAAACATTGACAAAACAAAATAATCTCACTAGAAGGACAAAAAAACCAATTAACCTCTACCTCGAAAACAACAGGGCGAAATCAAGATCTCTGCATAAATCTCACCTAGTTCAATTTCGTTATGGACAGGAGTTGGCATCAATATTATCTCGTTTTTCTTGCATATAACCATGCATGTGCTAGTCTCTAGCAAAATGTCACCATTATCAAACAAGTACATAGGACTGAAACCCAGAAGATGGCTACCATTAGCCAAAATACTATTATATGGGACAAAGAGCATCATCGTCCAAGATTGTTGGACCCCATAATCCTTCATTACTCACAAATCAAAAGAACCTTGAGAGTAATTGCAGTAGACGCAAAGCATGTCATCTAGAACGGCTTATTTGTAGCTACATCTATCTCAACCTCATAATATATATTTTGCACCTTTCCATGATTAGGTTGTGTGTTTACCGTGAAAATGATAATAACAATTAAATTTGTTGATGGGACTCTAAAAATATGTGATCTATTTTTATGCTAGTTGTTAGAGCAGTTGATGCTAGATATGTAAAGCTTAACGGCAAAATTACAAACTCACTACTAGAATTCGGGCAAAAAGCGACCAAATATTGGCGACCAAATTTGGTCTGTTAAGAAAAGCGACCAAAGTTGGTCGCCAAACTACCGAAAATAATAAAAAAAATATTTAAAATAATTTAGCGACCATAGTTGGTCGCTATTTGGACGCAAATTTAGTCAAACTGTTGACTGGACTGGTCAGACTTGCTTGGTCAAAGATACACTGAGTTTAACGACCAATATTGGTCGCAAAAGTGGGACTCACACAATTTTTTTTAATAATTTTATTATTATTTTATAAAACTTATAAAATATATATATATATATATATATA